TAATTTCTAGTTTTATTCCACTGTGGTCTGAGTAGATACATAGTATGATTTTGATTTTTTTTTTAATTTGTTGAGACATGTTTGGTGGCTGAAGATATCAGTCTTGGAGAAAGTCCCATGTTCTGATGAGAAGAATGTATATTCAATAGTTTGGGGTAGAATGTTCTGTAAAAGTCTCTTCCGTTTGGTCTAGAGTCCTGTTCAAGTCCAGTATTTATTTATTTTCTGCTTTGATGATCTGTCCATCTCTGTCAGTGGGGTATTGAAGTCCCTGGCAGTTATGATGCTACTATTTATCTCTTTGCTTAGATCTGGTAGAATTTGCTTTGTGAATCTGGGAGCTCCTGTGTTAGGTGCATATATATTTAGGATTGTTATATCTTCTTGTTGAATTGCTCCCATTACCGTTATATAATGACTGTCTTTGTCTTTCTTTACTATTGTTGATTTAAAGTTAATTTTATCTGATATGAGAATGGCTACACCTGCTCTTTTTTGGCTTCCGTTTGCATGGAATATTTTTTTCCATCCCTTCACCTTGAGCTTACGTGCGTCCTTGTGTTTCCTGGAGACAGCAGTTACTTGAGTTGTATCTTTTCATCCATTCACCAAGCCTGTGTCTCTTGAATGGGGCATTGAGACCTTTAACATTGAGTGATAGAATTGATATGTGGGATGCTCTTCATCATTTTGGGTAGTACCTTGTTGCTTTGTTTTTCCTCTTGTGCTGTTGTTTTATACGAACTTTGGCTTTTGGGGGATTTTACATAGGTGGGTATCTATTGTGCTGATCCATGTATAATGCAGTTCTGAGTATTTTCTGCAGGGTGGGTCTGGTTGTCCAAATTTCCTCAGTGGTTGCTTGTCTGGAAAAGTCTTATTTCTCCTTCCTTTATGAAACTTAGTTTTGCAGGGTGTGGAATTCTAGGCTGCCGTTTTGTCTGTTTAAGGAGACTGAAGATGGGACCCCAATCCATTCTGGCTTGTAAGGTCTCCACTGAGAAGTCTGCAGTTAGCCTGATGAGTTTTCCATTGTGGGTTGGTTGTTGCTTTTGTTTTACTGTTTGTAGAATTTTCTCCTTCATTTTGACTTTGGCCAGTTTGATTACTGTGTGTCTTGGAGATGTCCTATTTGTTATGAATCTTCCCGGTGTTCGATGGCCATCTTGTATCTGGATGTCTGAATCTCTGGTGATAGATACCAGGGAGGTTTTTCTCAATAATTCCCTCACATAGATTTTCCGTGCTTCTTGTTTTTTCTTCTTCTCCCTTAGGGATACCGATAATTTGCATACTAGTACACTTTGCATAGTCCCATATTTCCCTAAGCGATTGCTCGGTGTTTTGTATTCTCTTTTCTGCCTCTTTTAATGAACTGGCTTAGCTCAAGAGCCTTGTTTTCAAGCTTTGAGATTCTTTCTTCTCCTTGGTTTAGTCTGTTTTTGATCTTCCTGCTGTGTTTTGAAATTCTCTAAATGACTCTTTCATTTCTGTTATATCCTATCTTATGTCATCTAGCTCTTCAGCAACTTTTTCTTTTTTTTTATTGATTTCCTAAAATATTTTTTGGCTTCTCTTTCTCGGTTTTCAACTTTCTCTTCAATTCCATTCATTTCATTTTCCATCCATACTCTGAATTCCATTTCTGTCCTTTTGACAGTTTCTTTTTGTTTAGAGCCCACTTCTGTGGCTCCATTGTGATCCCTTGGGGGTGTGGAACTGTTTTGTTTTTATGTTGCCAGCGTTCTTTTGCTGGTTTCTTCTCATCTGAATCATCTTCTCTCAGATCAGGGCTACTAGGTTTGCAGGGCACCTGTTCTCCTTTGCTGGGAACTCTCTTGCTTAGCTAGAAGAAGGAGAGGTCCCCAGATGGTGCTCTTTTATCCTCCTCTGGAATGTTGATCTGGCAGGGAAGGAGCAAGGAGCACTGAGAGCCTGTATTGCACCTGCTCTGTTTTGTCCCATTCCCCTGTGATTGCTGCTGTTCAAGCCAGTGCTGGGTGATCTTCGTTTGTGGTGGTCGGCTGTTCCCTAGATTGCTGTTGGAAGTTCGAGGTGGGGGCTGGTTGAGACCCTCTCCACGGAGTCTGGCATTGTGGGGGATTGCTCTGTCCGGGGTCGCCCTGCGGAGGTGACAGTGGCAGCTGGGTTGGCTATCAGGGCAGTGGTCATGGGTGTCTGGGCTGTGGTCATTTGCTCAAACCAGCTCCAGGTTTAATGGCAGCTCAAGGCTGGGGGTGTCTGGGAGAGCATTGCACCTCGGGGTGGTTCCGCTGGCCCAGAGGCAGTGTTGGAGACTCAGGGGTGGGTCTTTGGGTCCAGGCGCAAGCTGGAATCTCGGGGGTGATGTCGCGGGCCAGTGGGTGCTCTGGAGTACAGGTGCAGGGCTTCAGGCCCAGGCACAGTGAGAGCCTCAGACCTGGAACTGGGGACCACAGACGCACAGCCGTGCTGGTGGGGGGCTCTTCCACTGGCTTGGGGACTGTGGATGCCAAATTGCATGGGCAGTGTTCGGTTCCGGGCTTGGGCCGTTGGACAGCCAGGGTTCTCTTCCCACCTAGGTCCCATTGAGGCATTGGCCCAAGGCTTGCCAGTGGTGCCTGTGCCACCTGAGGCACCTCCTCTGCTCAGTTCCCATCCTGGGTGGGGAGGGGCACTCGACTCTCAGTTACAGGGCATGGCACGGGGGAGTGTCTGCTCTGCCCTCTCCCTCCCTGGCCTGGTGGGGATGACGTGAAGGCTGCTGCTGCAAAGCCAAGGCCTGCTGTGCACCGGAGAGCTCAGGATGGTGTTAGCTGCAGAAACCCAGATTGGCAGCCACCAGATCTCTGCTGCGCCTGCTCCCCAATATAAGGTGTCTGCACAGATTCTAAGCAACTCCCCCCGCCCGATGGTCCAGAGGTCTGCGGTGGCAGAGGGAGCCCCTTTACAACTCGGCCGCAGTGTCTGTGGGGTAAGCATGGCACCCCAGGGCTCCATCCTCTTGACCTTCCCCATGTATGGTTGCCTCCCTACGTATCCTTTCGATCTTGCAGAATGAATCGCCTGATCACCTGCTCCTTCACTTTCAATGTCCCCCATTGCTTCTTCCAACTGAATTTTCAGTTGATCAGAGTGATATAAGAAACCAGAGAGATAGAAGACAGGTTCTCTGCTCTTCCATAAACTGTGTCTAGCCTTTACTAAACTCTTTATATTCCCATTTCGTTTACACCATTAAGATACTATCATTGTTACTGAATAAGAACCAAAGAATAGATTCCAAATGAAAATGGAAGGGAAGGAGCCCATCTCGTAGGGAACTAATACAAATTTTAATATGGAAACCTTCAAGCTCAGTTACCTAGTAAGGACGTACCCAAACCAAGATGTGTTTTATTTTTTCCTCTTCTTGTTTCTGGCCCTTGAGCATTAAATGCATTTTCTAGGAAAAGTGATGCCATGGCATTTTAAAAAGTCATCAAAGTATGATAGTGTTGCTAGACTGTTTCCAAGGAGTATTATTTTCCTGTATCTTAGCATTTTGTAACATAAAATAATT